ATTTCGATAAAGTAATGCTTCGATAAAATAGTATATTAACATTCAGGGTAAGTCAGCTGAGAAACATCGCTCAGGCTGAACAGGTTTAAAGAGCTAGCACTGATTTCGTTATGCTTATGGCCATTACAGATAGATATGAGAATAACTAAAAATTATTTGGAGGATCACAGTGCTTAATTGGTCACCATTACTTTTTTCCTTTATTGAAAACTGCTTCTGACACTAACAGAGTTTTCGTGTGATACTGACAGAAATATTCCCAACAATGGTTGTTCTTTTTGAAAAACCTAATTTTACGATAGAAGAATAGTATTCTCAAGTGGTAAACAAAGTTTTATTTTTATATAGCACTTTTTTTTTAGTTTTTCTTTTTTCTCATTCTTTTCCTTCTGTACATTCGTTATGGATCCTCTGAACTAACTAAATTTGATTAGCACTTGTGATTTATAAATAAATTGGTTTTTGTTGTGCTTTTTTACAGCTTTGCTTGTTACGGTTGTTTTGTATTCCTTCTTCCGTTTTTTTTATTGACTACACTTTCTTGCCTCTATAAATTCTTTTTTTGGTTGCTGTTTACTTTTATCTGTAACACTTGTGTAAATAGGTCAACACTTTTATTCTGTATTAGTGATAGAACAGACGTAGGCAAATAAAGTTAATTTTGAAATAATTATCGGAAGTAATAAAGAATATTCAATGAAAACGTTGCATTTTTTGGTGTCGAATAATCTGAAATTGCACAATTTATAGTAGTTTACTGACGGAGAAACTATGTCGAAGTAGTTGCCAGGAGTATCAAGAAATACGGTTGCAGAGTATAGTTGGGCAATAACAGGGACGCTTGAATGTATTACACGTCGTCTGAACCGCTTCAAACAAAAATAGTGGAAAAAAAAACTTTTGCATTGCTTCTAATGGAAGAAACATCAGAGGTGGTTATCGTGGCAAGTGCCATTTGGCTCGGAAGTGGTTTTTAAGTAGTTGTAAAGGTACCGGAAAAATGTAGAATAGACGGAATGTTTGTCAACAATTAAACTTCCATGCCAACAATTGTGCAATTAGCTTTATGCTCATCAGATGGAACAAAATGAACACACCGATGCATCACATCTGAATGGAGACGTTTTGAAAGCAGTCAGTTTATAGTGCCAATTGTTGACAGCACTGTTTATCCAAATGCTGCTATAAAACAACACTAGCGATTCTTATTTGTTTTCGTAATCATTGGTTTACAAGATAATTATTATCATTAAGAAGTTATATTGACCAACAACTTTTGTGGAACAGTTATGTGGTAAACTGCTGAATATAAAAAGCAGAGCAAGAAAAAAAAATATCTGGTTTTCAAGTGTTACAGTTAGGTAATCACAAACGTTTAAATATAAAAAAAAATTTTGAATAAAGATCTGCTGTGTTTGTTTCGTAGTTCCAAGTAAACGTTTATGCAAAATAAACCCGACTTCTATCTTGTTATCAAAAGACTAGATTTTTTTTCTGTTTCAGAGAATTATAGCAATAACTACTGTGAGAGAAAAGAAAAAACATGTTAACATTTTTTTATTATTAATGTCAGCAATTTTTTTTTTATTCAGTTTGTGTTGACAAAGTAAAGAAAATTAGCAAACTGAATTGTTTCTTTTTTGGACATTTTTTTCTGTAAAAAAGAAGAGAAAAAATGAAGGAAAGAAAGTAAAGCAATAACGAGATTGAGTGATGATTATTGCAGTGGTTTATTGTGTCTGTATGTGAGAAGTTTTTGTAACAAGCCATATGTAGCCTGTTCTGATGTTTATCTTTCATTTATTTCTTAATCTTTCCATTTAGTTGTGTGAAAAGCATAAAAGTTCCGGTTTTAAACTGCGTAAGTGAAAAGCAGTTTATTATACATAAATACAATTTTTTTCAGCTTTTTTTTTTTTTTTTTTGTTGTCATTTGTTTGATCTGTTGTTGTAACTCGAGAACCACAGAAAAAAAATGGTCAAACAACGCTAATACATAAATATGTATATATACTTCATATTCGGCTGACTGAATTCATCAGCTTCAGCTTCATAAATCAAATTCGCTGTACCGTTGTCCAGTAGCGGCAAAAGAAAATGTTTATTAAACTGTAAGTTTCGTTCAAACTCATCATCTTTGCACTAAAAACTTGATAAAAAAATATTGTCGCTTTTGACGACTATCAATCGTCAATTCTTTGCTACCGTAAATGGTATAGTGATAAATTAGTTTTATAAATTTTTGAACCAATCCAGCTGTTTTATAGCTCTTTCAACTTTCACCAGATAACTTTATAAGCTATACTTAAATAGTAGATTAAATTTATATGACTTTTGGTTGCAGTTCATAACTGGCGTTTTACTGAAACCCAACTTTGTTTGTTTAACTGTATCAATTTTTAGCAGTGTCGTACTTGCTGTAGCAGTTGTTTTTATTTCGTCAACTCAGGCTCAAATTTTGTACAGTCCATACTATCCGGTTTATGCTCCATATCATACAACATATGTAGCTGGAGCAGTACCTGCTTATGCACCATACTATAGTACATATTATGGTTTTATTGGAAGCAACAAGGGTGCAGCAATGAACCGTCAACCTCAAGTAACCCAGAAATCTGGTTTGATCAATAACTGATCAATAAAAACTGGATACATAAAGAGGAACTGAAAAGATTCTCTCAAAAAAAAAAAAAAGAAAAAAATACAGCATTTAGAAAAGTACTAATAATCACTGTGACGCCATTGTTCAATATGTAAAATTGATATAAATTTTCTACCATTATTTGTCTATATAGCATTATCTGCTTTCTCCTGCATTTGATTCTGTGTGTGCTTGTTTTTGAGTCTCTTTTTGGCTGTATCGAGCAGTAAACTTTCAATTGTTTTGCGATAAATAATTACAAAACAAAATTTTGGTGATAGTGCAGAAGTGGGGAGGTGGGGGGGGGGGGGGGGAA